ACGCTTGTGTGGAACCCTTGGTTGTAACGTCTCTATGATCTTGCCACTTGGTGGCTTATGCTACTTTGTGACGTGTGTACTCAGTGCATCCTACGTGTGTACTTTGTGCATCCTTTGATCCATATCCGTTAGACTGCGTGTGTGAACTTACCTGGAGTTACCTTGCCGGGCTGAGTGATCACGTATCGGAGTTGTCTGCCAATTTGTTTTTCGTTTATCTTGAGGGTGTGTACATGCGCGTTTTTGCGGATTTGTGCCGTTGCACCGAGCGCCGTGATGTCTTCACGTGATCAGCCAGAACGAAGTGATCGTGACCGGGAGAGGGGCGACCGGTCCCGCGAAGTGAGGGATGAAGGTGGGGAGCGTAGGCCTTATAGGCCCCCCACTTGTTTCGCCTATAATGAAACGGGTCACTACGCCAATTATTGCCCGAACCGAAGCCGGCGTTATTCGAGCACCCGACCTTCAACTTCTACAGATACTAGGCGATCTCGATCTCCACGAGGCTACGATGGAAGAAGGGAGCAACCTCATCAGTTGGACCCAGAGTTGAGGAGTACTATTGCCAAGCTTGGAAATAACGTGTCTGCGATGGAGGAATACTACGCTGTCGAACGCCTGAAGAAAGCGAACAAGAGGAAGAAGAAATTGAAGAAAGAAGAAGAGGAGCGACGAGCTGAGGAGAAACGGGGTGCGAGGGAAGAAGAACGTGCTCGTACGGATAAGAAGGCTTTGAAAGCGAAGCAGAAGAAGGCTTTGGAGGCTGTCGTGCGTGCAGCCATGCAAAAGGATTTGAACATCCAGCTTGCCATTCAAGTGGGTGAGCTGGAGAACCGGATCGTTGACCGGATGTACCAGGTCGTCGCATCAGTTATCCCACTCAGCAGGGAGCATGGGAAGAAGAAGGTCACTTACGGGTCGGAAGTTGGCAGCTCGTCAGCAAGCTCTGGAGATGGTAGCGACACTAGCGTTACTCAGGAGCTTAGTGCGCAAACTCAACGTTTGGCCATCTTTGAGAAGCGTAAGAGGGGCCCCGAGCCCGAGTTTGAAGACCCTAGTCCACCAATGGACCCCTACGAAGTCTCCTGCGCGTGCTTCGGTGTTGACACCATCAACCAAAGGGGCGTTTGCTCAGTTGCGTTTTCGTAACAATATCTTGAGGGAACTGAAGGATCTGGATGCTACGGATTTGCAGGCAATCTGCCAGAACGAAGGCTTGCATTATGACAAGAAGATCGACGTTATTTTTTATATTGCTGACCACCGTACGGAGCTTGCTTTCGTCAACGATCCCATCGGCAATGCCGGGCAATGCCGAGATCATTCATATCGCAACATCAGCGGATACCGGCGGCAATGAAGATGTGGAACCTGTTACCGATGTGTGACGAGTTTTAACTGTACAACAACTTTGGAAGCTCTGTCGTCTTCTGACCCACGAGCGATGTGAGTCTTTGGTTGTGAATAAGCCTGTTGAACGAGTCCTCCGATAAGTGTCTTTGTTGTTAGTTTTGTACGAGCAGATACGTTGGGCTGGGAAGTGTATCCCCAAGTGGCTTGAGTTGTACGAACGTCATGACTTGGATTTCTTGGAACTTACCTCGTGTGTATATGTGGGGATTTCCCTATTTTGTAAACTGTTTTATGTTGGCAAGTCAACTCGGGGTATTGACGTTCGCTGGAGCGAGCATATTTATTGTTGCAGAAATCGCACATGCTCGCATTTTCACCGTTGGCTGACTTCTTTTGGGATTGGTAATTACTTATTCCTCCCTGTTGATATCTTGGTAGTGGGTGACCTGACTGTCCTTGAGAAGACTTATATCAAATTGTGGTCTCCTTTCCTCAATACTTCGGGTTGTAAGAAGCAGAGTAGCAAATCGAAGTCAAGGAAATTGGGAAGGAGGGAACGTGCGAGGGGTAAGGAGAGGCATACACTTGTTAATTTCCTATGGAAACTCGTACGTTGTCGTCGTGCCACGTCTGCCGACTGGTGCGTTGACTTTTTCACTTTCCTTGAGGATGTTGAGATCGGGAAATAACGGTGTGGAATTTTATGCACAGGATGGCAATATCTGAGAACCTTGTTGGAAGAAGTTAGCCAAGACGTTTGGGGACTTTAAGATTGTATCTAATTCGGGTACTGCCTGTCTCAAAGACTGTAAGACTCTTTTGCAGTCGGGGGGACTCTTCTCTGTTTTGCATGTTTGTAAATGGTCGTCGAAGTGTGGATTTTTTAAGAAGATTTTGATCAGCATTCTCCGAAATCCGAGGCAGGTTACTGTGTTTAGCAAATGGAGCATGCGCTTTGTGTTGCGTTTATATCGTGCTGTCAAAGACTTCTCCCGCAAATCTACCCGAAAGTATCTGCGTAGGATTATTTCACGTTGTTTTCGGGATAGGTTTGGTTTGAGCCTCAGCGTTGACCTTGTCTTTCGTATCCGTTATGATGATCGTATTAAGTTCGTTGATGTCCGTAAAGTGGTGAATGATGCTTTAATGAGTTTGGACTTACCTTTGTGTTTCCTGCTCAGAGCATGAAGGAAAATTCGGATAGTGGGAACAAAAAAACCCTCTGTTGCTGATATCTTGCACAACATGCGTAGTCTGTCAACACGCTCTGTGCTTACCTGCACCTGTGCGGGTTTGTCTTTTCCTCGTGCTCACGGGCATGTGTTAGTTCGACTAAGTGGACTTGATGGTATTCATCATTTGGTTGTTAATGCTAAAAATGTACCACGAGCACGTCTACCTGATCGCTTGGCCACCTTTCGCGATGAGTTGTCTGTTGGGTTCAGTCATTGGATCAATTGGAATGGCCCTGCACCGGTTTTTAACACGGAGATTTTGGCTAACTGTTTCTCCGAGGCTTCGAATAACAGTCGGGTTTTGACTTTGGATGAAGTCCTCGAAGTTAAGAAGAGATTCGAGTCGCTTGTTTTGACAGTTGTTGACCCTAACCCAGGGGAAACTGCAGTGATGTGTCATGCGGTCTATTACGAAGCTATGTTGAGTAACTTCGTTTTCAATCCCGGCTATCGGATTGTGAATTACCCTGAAAGTGTTGCCTTACGTGAACTCCAAGACGACGCCTGCGGTGTTGGGTTGGGAAGTTTTGTGCAATGGAATGGGAAGGGGAAGTGTAGGTCCGCCTACCTTTTACCGAAGCACAAGGACCTTAGCCGTTTTCGGCCTATTTGTTCTTCTTTTGATGAACCTATGGTCCGTACGGGCCGGGTGGTGGCCAGAGCCCTGAACCATCTGCTTGGTGCATTACCAAAGAATTGACACTTTAATTTGCTTGCAGTATCTTGCCTGAGGTCGCGTTTGGAGAACGCCAACTGTAGGTTCCTTTGTTTGGGGGATGGAAGAACGATTTTGTCGTATTCCTTTAACATTAAAGAGATGTTTAGCAAGTTTCCGCATGCTGACATCAGTCGTGTTGTGGATTGGCTCATTGATTACCATAGGGGGAAAGGTAAGACTTTCGTTCGCGTTAATTCCCTCGGTAAGGGTACGACTTTTGGATTAACTACGGGAGGTGATCACTGGCGAACGTTGGACCTGGATGATGTTCATCGTTTTGTGAACCTTGAGTTGAACCATACGTATTTTCGCGCGACAGATGTGTTACTACAGCAAGAGCTGGGGATTTTCATGGGGAAGAGTACGAGTCTCCCTCTTGCCTGTGTTTTGTATGCCTTTGCCGAATACCGGTTTTCTTGTTCCTTAGGCAGGGTTGTGCGCTATGTTTTGCGTCTCGCTTGATCGATGACGTCATGTTGGTCATCTCTTTACCTATTGGTATTACGGACTCTGCGATTCTAAGTGCTTTCAAGGAGTGTTATCCCTCCAACTTGGTGCTCAAGAGGACTGATGATGGCTCCGGGAGATTTGATTTTCTTGGCTGTCAGATTCGGGTACGGTAGTCTTATCCTTTCTGGGTTGTATTCAGATGCCCAGAAATGATGATTGCATGTGGACTACTAATAAGTTGAATGTTCTGAATGGACAGTCATATTGGTCATGGTGATATAAGAAGCAAAAAAGTGCTATCATTGGGAGTTACTTGCATCGAATTGATACCAACAACTCGATTCGTTCAAGAGATTTCAGATCGTGTGCGGGCTCTGCAAAGGGAGCTTGCTCTGAAAGACTGCCCGGAAAATTTATTTTTGAGGGTGTTGAAGAGTTTCGCTGTCCGAAGGGATGCGGTTTGGAGGCATACGGTCAACCTGTTATTCTGAGGACCTCAACTACGCTGGCGGAATATGCGGACAGGGTATCCCTGGTCTTCCGCGCGGAGCTCGGTTTTGGGTATCTGGTTTTCCTTTTTTCTTTTCTTTTGACTTGTTTTGATCTTTTGCCCTTTCGGACCCTTGTTTGTTTGCATTTTGAGTACGAGTTCTGTTCGGGCCTGAGCACTGTTTCGGTTCTCGAGCGAGTGCCGTGTTGTCGCAGAACTCTTGGACGCGATGCTGTAGAGTTTGGTCCTCGAACCGGGTCCTGTTCCGAACCACTCTCTGCTACCCGATTTTGGCGGTGTGGTTCTTTTGGTCAGCGGTAGGCCTGTGTAGTGTTTTTCGTTGCTAGTGTTTTCGTTGGGTGGAACTATAAGTCGATCATCGTGGTATGTGTTCGACCTATTGGGCCGGCCACACGACGATTATCATTACTACCGGTAGTGATGATATGAGCTTGCGGACGTGGATTTGTGGGAGACGGTGGTGCTTGGGATTGTCGGAACGCTTGTGTGGAACCCTTGGTTGTAACGTCTCTATGATCTTGCCACTTGGTGGCTTATGCTACTTTGTGACGTGTGTACTCAGTGCATCCTACGCGTGTACTTTGTGCATCTTTTGATCCATATCCATATCCATTCCCCCAAACAATAAAACAATCGGTTGATGCAGATATCTCGAAAGGAAAAACTAACTGAGCCTAGCGGTAAGAAGCGGGACAAAAATTGTAAAATCAAAAATTAAAATTTGATTGCAATAATTATTTTTTTCATATTTAATTTTATACTGCCTATAATAAAGTCGAAATATATCAGATCCATTTCTATAATATATATATATATATATATATATATATATATATTATTTGCAATAAAAATTGTTAAGTTAAGCAACATTGTTCACCTCTCCCTCCCGCTTACATTAAAAATGAAACAGTAGAAGTGGGAGGGAAAGGAGAAACAACATTATTTACATTTAAAATACAGGAAATGTAAAATCGCATATGCTCAGTAAGTCGAAGTCTCGCGTCTCTTCCTCCCAACATGATGAGGCAATCTCTGAAGCATTTAAAAAAAATAAAAAATTATTGATTACAAACTACATTGTTCACATCTCCCTCCCGCTTCTCCTGTTTTATTTTATTAAAGATTTTACGTGTTATTTATATGAAATATGTTACAACTTAATATTATAGTTAAACAGGTTACCAGCCGAGTCGCCCAGGTCACATTTTTTTCCCTGGAGGTACGACCATATAAGGACCATGGGAAGGTCCTAAGAAAAAAAGAAAAAAGAAAAAAATTATATTGTGCAAAAAAAAAAACTAAAAAACTTTGTCGTAGGGTCATACTGAAAATTTTTACCAATTTTAGAGTAAAAAGTAAAAGTTTATATTAAAATTTTTATTGTTTTTTATTATTTTTAGCTCGACCAGACAAGTGGTCCTTGACCACTCTGGTAGCGTAGGTAGTTAATGAATATGATTTTTTTTAAGAACAATCTATTAGGTCATATAAGGGCAAAAATATATATATATATATATTATTGTGAGATTTAAAAATGTTGAATTTCACATTTAAAATTAATTTGCAAAATATTTAAACAAACAAATAACTACAAAAAAAAAGTGAGCAGCATAAGAAAAGTGGCTTACTGTTGAAAATTTATAACTGTCATGAAAAATAAAAAGCAAACATTTAAAAATTTTGTAATATTTATAAATTTTAAGTAACAACCTAAACCAATTCATATGTTGTCAGTGTATCGATCTCATTGAAGGGACCCTCTCGGTCGTTTCACGTTGGATTTAGCATGTCGCATAAACACAAAGAGTTTCGTTGTTCATGCCGAGCGCGTCATCTATATCGTCACCGAATCCCAATAACATGATAGGGTCCCACGAGGTACAACTTACCTCAACTAGTGAGTGTTTTTACTATCCCTTAGATTAGCCTATCCCCACCGAGCTACTGAACCACTTGCGAAAGTTTTTGCATTCAATCGCAAAGGTGGACAGTTGAGGGTGTTTTCTCGTATATTGTAGAATAGGGGGTACACGAGGTCACGTATGAATTGAATCTGCACGCAAACCAACATGGGGAACTACAACAAAAACATTGTCGATAAATTCCAA